GCTGCATCTGCGCCTTGATCCTAGAGGGCCAGGGCGTAGCATAGCCCTTTTCAAACTGCTTTGGAAGGTCATGTGACACCATATCCTGTACAAAAGTCACCCTATTTTCATTTTTGCAGCCAAGGATACTGGCTCAGCCAGCTCCTTATATTTTGGATTTTTCTGTAAACTGCACTCAGAAACGAGTCTCATTCAGCAGACTACATGTACATTATACATCATTCCCCTCTGATCTTGAACTATATGTACCATCGGCTGCTTCTTACACACGTTTTACAGGAGGTTACGACATTTAGACTTGCAAACAAACGTGCTTCCTTTCCTCGAATAGCAGGGAGCAGCAAGTTGGACCAAAACCAGCGCAGTGTACTGAAGTAGTCACTTCACACCAGTGAGGACAGTGGAGTCACTTCACACCGTGCAGCAGTGGAACACCAGTATTTGCTACTCCCTGCTTCACGTTCACACTCAGCTCCCCTCGCTCCGGTCTACTCCCTGCTCCACGTTCATACTCAGCTCCCCTCGCTCCGGTCACGCTGCTGTTTTACGGTTTGCAAAGGTACCGACTATGGCCGCATGGACAACAATTTACAAGACTGACATACATGTAGACCCACTAAACATGTGTGAAGGGTCTACCCGGCACGTGTACAAGTCCAGACCACGCATCGACACATGGATATGATGAACGTTGAGCGCAGGCACTTTGCGATACGTATTATCCTGTTTTGGGCGTTTTGCGGACATTGTACGGCAAACTCTAGCTGCTTTGTTTGAGTTTTGCGATACGGCGTTACACGCCTGAGGGTGGCGGTGTTAGGGTGGTGGTGTTAGGGTGGCGGTGTGAGGGTGGCGGTGTTAGGGTGGTGGTGTTAGGGTGGCGGTGTGAGGGTGGCGGTGTGAGGGTGGCGGTGTGAGGGTGGTGGAGAGGGGGGGGGGGGGGGGGGCGGTGTGAGGGTGTTGGAGAGGGGGGTGGCGGTGTTAGGGTGGTGGAGAGGGGGGGGGGGGGTGGCGGTGTTAGGGTGGCGGTGTGAGGGTGGTGGTGTGAGGGTGGCGGTGTGAGGGTGGTGGTGTGAGGGTGGCGGTGTGAGGGTGGTGGCGGTGTGAGGGTGGTGGCGGTGTGAGGGTGGTGGAGAGGGGGGTGGCGGTGTGAGGGTGGTGGTGTGAGGGTGGCGGTGTGAGGGTGGTGGAGAGGGGGGTGGCGGTGTTAGGGTGGCGGTGTGAGGGTGGTGGAGAGGGGGGTGGCGGTGTTAGGGTGGTGGAGAGGGGGTGGCGGTGTGAGGGTGGTGGAGAGGGGGGTGGCGGTGTGGGTGTGGTGGAGAGGGGGGTGGCGGTGTGAGGGTGGTGGAGAGGGGGGGGGGGGTGGCGGTGTTAGGGTGGCGGTGTGAGGGTGGTGGTGTGAGGGTGGTGGTGTGAGGGTGGCGGTGTGAAGGTGGTGGAGAGGGGGTGGCAGTGTGAGGGTGGTGGAGAGGGGGGTGGCGGTGTGAGGGGGGTGAAGAGGGGAGGGGGGGGGGGGGTGGCGGTGTTAGGGTGGTGGTGTGAGGGTGGCGGTGTGAGGGTGGTGGAGAGGGGGGGGTGGCGGTGTGAAGGTGGTGGAGAGGGGGGTGGCAGTGTTAGAGTGGCGGTGTGAGGGTGGTGGAGAGGGGGGTGGCGGTGCGAGGGTGGTGGATAGGGGGGTGGTGGTGTTAGGGTGGCGGTGTTAGGGTGGTGGAGAGGGGGGTGGTGGTGTTAGGGTGGTGGAGAGGGGGGTGGTGGTGTTAGGGTGGCGGTGTTAGGGTGGCGGTGTGAGGGTGGTGGAGAGGGGGGTGGTGGTGTTAGGGTGGCGGTGTTAGGGTGGTGGTGTGAGGGTGGTGGAGAGGGGGGTGGTGGTGTTAGGGTGGCGGTGTTAGGGTGGTGGTGTGAGGGTGGTGGTGTTAGGGTGGTGGTGTTAAGGTGGTGGTGTGAGGGTGGCGGTGTTAGGGTGGCGGTGTTAGGGTGGCGGTGTTAGGGTGGCGGTGTTAGGGTGGCGGTGTTAGGGTGGTGGTGTTAGGGTGGTGGTGTTCGGGTGGTGGTGTTCGGGTGGTGGTGTTAGGGTGGTGGTGTTAGGGTGGTGGTGTGAGGGTGGCGGTGTTAGGGTGGCGGTGTTAGGGTGGTGGTGTTAGGGTGGCGGTGTTAGGGTGGCGGTGTTAGGGTGGCGGTGTTAGGGTGGCGGTGTTAGGGTGGTGGTGTGAGGGTGACATTGCTAGAGGGTGACATTGCTAGAGGGTGACATTGCTAGAGGGTGGTGTTCCCACGGCGGATGCTGACAACTAGGTCTCCAGCCGAGTCTCACGGAAATCGTGATTTATTTAATATTTTTTTAATTCGTTCCCTGCCCCTACATTTTTCCTGGCTAGAACCTTGTAAATATACTACAACCATCATCTTACCAGATGTGTAAGGTTTGCAATGTGTCTGTTTGTCATCTCAAGAGACACAGCCAGGGAGCGGTTATGAAACCAGGAGCCGTCCATCCATTGTA